GAGCAAGCTGTACACGTGAGGGCAACCAGGAAGCAGAAAGGAAGAGAGGGTTTGGGGTCCACGTATCTTCTTGAATGGCACAACCCCAAAGGTGCCTCTAAGTAGGTCCCATCATGTACACCACATTCCAATAGCACCCTGGGTGGAAACCAATCCTTTAACACATGAGTATCTGAAGGGATATTCCAGATGAGAAACAGAGCCTTGGGTCTCACTTTAAAAGCTCCTATTTCAGACACTTTAGGAGTAGAGACCAGGAATCTGCAACTTAACAAGCCCAAGCAGTCTATGTGCAATAGAAAATCACTGCTGCAGCAAGAACAGACTTTTGCCATCTTCTTACTGAGTGCCAAGTTTCCCAACGCTGTAACATATGCCCCTCCTCTGTACGCTTCAGCTTTACAATGACTCTTTCCCTGCCTTTTCTGATCTCTATCCCACCTACATAAACCATATCTATCTTATCTATCTTGTAATGTCGTAGCATCAATACTCATCCTTCTGGACAGGTTTAATTATTCCAGCATTCAGTGTTCATTTTTATATCTTTACTATGATATTTCTCTTGAGTCCTACTGTGAACATAGCTATGTATGCATGCTTATGGTGAAAAGCGGGCATTGCTAAAAAAGTAAACTAGCTTTCTTTTTGGATAAAGTTTACAGGGTTGTAGTGATGTGCTAACTGATCTCAGTGTGATGTGTTCTGTTAAATCAGCTGTACTTTTTCTACTTAGTAGTCATTCGTGTGTACCCTTAGTGAAGGCTGTATCTAAGCTGTTAGCCATTTACTTAGAGCATCAGTTCCCTTAGGCTGATCATTTATATATGTTGCATCACAGATGAAGGAAGTCACTTAATGTTGTTTCTCTAGTAACATGTGAGCAGGCACATGTGAAAGACTGAAGTGGATCTGGCATCCCAGGTGCCCTCAAGTTCAGTAACATCCAACTTCACAGTTTAAAGAATAAATTCAAGAACATTCACAAAGCCACTCACCAACCCTGTCCTCTGCAAGTTAAGCTCAATGAAAAGTATGAAGAGTCCCAAGGAAAACCAATCACCCCTCTATATCAACGTTTCTTTTTTTAAATTTTTTGAGTATATTCACTGAGAGGTGTTGGTACTTACAGCATCTCAATCCTTTTTATTTCTCTTCCCCTCTCCTGCCTCATGAAGTAGTGAACATGATTAGCATGAAATTTATTGTTTTTCTCTGACCTGCTTCCAGAACACCTCAGATTCATGACCACTTTATTACCTCCGACAGACTCTGAGCTTCTGAAATAAGGTCCAGGTATTATCCGTGTACACATTGTTATAGTGTCCATTATGCTACATGGCAAACCAAGGCAGTCAATACACGGAGCTAAATGAGTAGTTAATGTAATAGATAGATTTTGTTAAATCATAGGTATAATGTTGCAGATCTTCATTAAACTTACTTTATCCATGCTGGAAGATAGCCTCCATTTCCATGAGAATTATAAAACCATAGCTGGAGAACAAATAGATATGTGGTGATGGGTAGGGAAAAGAATCACGAATCCCTTTTTTATTCCAGGTACACAAAATAGAAAAGCTGAGAAAAGCAAGTGTGTGCAAACTACCTAACTATTCCATTCCGTCGCTACCTCATCTGTAAATTGTGAGCAAACTTCTGTCTACATAACAGAATTGTTAGATTAATTTAGTTCCTATAAAAACATCCAGTGCATGCCACATGTAAATACTCTTTAGGTGTTATCTCATAATTTTAATCCCATTAGTCCTTTCTGATTTACAAAGACTAAGGGACACTGGGAGTTGGTTTATTTGTAAGAATTTGGTTCAAGAGAACAAAACCTGAACATAAAGTATTTACAGAATACACTGAAAAGAGCCACATGTATATGTTAAGTATGAATGTAAAACAAGTTAAATAACAAAGCAGCTAAGGAGAATAAGAAAAGGATTACCACCACAGGGTCCTATCCAGATTCTTGTTAGAAGTTTGAATTTGACCTTGGATAGCTACTGTAAGGGAGTTATTCATGGAATAACACAGATGGCTCCTTATTCAATTCAATACATAGAATTCTGCTTGAGTCACCATCTCAGGGCAAATACATAGTCCTTAATAGTGGGAACTCAAATGCTGAGTATCTGTTGGAACTACAGTGCACAGCTGTTAAGTATATTTGCCAATTAATCAAAAACTGTCCAAACTGATCGTGTTTCTGTTCTTATCAGGTCAGAATTTTACTCGTGACAGTTCACCGTGACTGATGAAAGGCAAGAAAACAAATTCAGTATCCTTTAAGCCTCTCACATAGCCATGTGGTAATGAGTCTAAAATTTGTAGAAAGTGGCCCAACATTAAATAAAACACACTGAGAAATGGAAAGCAATGCCAGAAAAAGTAGAATAAAGATGTCGGAAAAACTGTATATGATGGTAAAAACAAACAAACAAACAAACAAACAAAAAACTGTTGCTTCTGAGTGTATTAGCTTGAACAACACCAAACTGTCACAATCACATCATCTTTTTAATTTACTGAAATGGCGATTCATGTTTTTCAGACCAACAGAAATCAGGCTAAAAGACTGGCTTAGTTGATATTTGGCATAGTTCATATATTTGTAATGATGAAATATTAACCTTCTGTTGGAGGAATAGGAAACAAGATCTATGAAAAAAAGAGGAAATAGAAGGCGATCATGGAAGGAAAGATCACCATTTCCTCCTTTTTATGGGAGGGAAAATCTTAGGACTCAGGAAATCACCAATGAGATGCTGCATGGAGGCACTGATCAGAGAAAGAAGGTATGATTTAGAAGGGATGAGGCGTCAAGGCTGTAATACCAGTGGAAAAAGAAATCTTTGAAAGTGATTTGGAAGAAGCAGTGCAGGTCAGCCAGACCTTGACAAGAGACAGTGCAAAACACAAGAGAAGAGAGCTATGCAACAGTGTTACTTACTCCAAGAGTTAGGGAACCCGAAAAATTAGTGTGAACCTGACAGATGAGTTACATATCTTGCTCAGAACTCTACTGTACATTATCCACACTTAATCTGGTCTTTTAGGGAATAGAATTATAATCAGAGAAAATTATATATAAAAGTCAACAGAAATTGAGTCAGGACAGCAGATTATGAAGTTAATCTTATCGTGAAAGAGTCCTTTGCTGAATCTGGAAGGAAATTGTGCTGTAGGTTAAGTCTCATGAAAAGGAAGACTCTGAGCTTCATATAAAAGTTTTGCTTAAAAAAAAAGTTTTGCTTGAATTTATGCACAGAAAAAGGGCTCCTTGATCACCTCGAAAATACTCCCAACTTTGGTCAAAACCAGTTAACTTATAAACCACTGATGAAGCTGTAAACCACTGGTTAGGTTGTAAACCAGTTCCTCCGTAATCTCTGTATTCCTCCGTGATCTCTGGTCTAATCCACCACCGAGGTCTGGAAATCAGTGCCACAAATCACCCTGGACCTAGTGGAGGGGACACTGATACTCCCTTTCTTGGAGCTCTATGGAGTGAAGAAGCAATGAGGACTTTGTAAAATCAGTATATTTTTCAGCATAAATATCATGAAGCCTCACAGTTTTATACTCACAGCTAAACTTCTAGGGTGAGGAAATGAAAAATACTGAGGGTGGAAGCCTCTTATTGTAATCCAAATCCAAATATAGAGGCAGTGGTACAAATCCAAAATCCAAACACATTTCAAAGTGAGCAAAAGAGTAAGCAACAGAATGGAGCAGGTGGATAACTTTTAGGAAACATGAGAGAGCTGGGTATTTGTAAAGAATCTATGTTATGATAAGGAACATAAAAAAGTATTCACATTTAAAACTTAAAAGGATAGAGTTACATTTAAGGAAAGAAGTGCTGTAAATTAGTGATCGCAGGCATAATTTTAGGAGTCTTCTGTGAAGAGAAAATATGGCAATAGGCTCAAGTGTTTTTCTTCTTTCTCAACCCCAAGCAACTAATTGTATCTTTCTTGAGCCTTTAGGTTGAGGATTCAATCAACAGGTCCAATCATGCTTTCTAGGGGTAAGAGCAGCATCAAGGGCCAGCCCTTTGTCCTCACAGAAAGAATTACATATGGTGCTGAGCTAAAGGGCAAGGAAGTAGTCAGAGTTCCACATGGGCACTCAGAACTGCCCTGAGCTAGGCTGAAAAGAAACTGAGCTGGACCGACACAGATTCAGAAAGAAATTCTGGGAAGTACAGTATCATAGGAATCAGGGGAAAAGAAAAGGCCATAATGAATGAAGGGCAACAGCAACATCACTACAGTCTGCAGAGCTGTGAGTATGAGGAGGGAACAAGCCCTAGAGGTCAACACCTTGGGAAAGATGTTGTTTAGAGAAATGATAAAATCAATGGCAGTGAGGAATTAAAGTTGATTTTTATGCATCATACAATAAAAGAATTATTAAATCACTTCTCAGCCTCTGCTTTTTGAAATTATTTGTCACCATATATTAATAGATTCAGATCATTAGTTTCAATAACTATAATGGGAGAAAAAAGGACTCTAGATTTTAGTTTTTTAATTAAATAAGACTTTTAATCGGTTGCTTTAAAATAATTGCTTATATCTTATGCGAATGTAATGTTGAGATATTAATTTCTTTTTAAATTCACTTAAATTCACATGAAATTAAGTACCTCAAATTCTACTGTACAACTCTCTCAGGTTAAACATTACACAGACACAGATATGTGTTCTTGTCGTCTGTAATTAGTGCATTTGTGTAGCAGATGAGCTCTATCACCATCCTTATTTACCAAAGTTAAAAAAAAAAATGCCCAGGTCTACCCTACCTAACCCGTCTTATTTACAAATACATCTAGCTAACCAAAAGCCCATCTGGAAGAGAATGCTGCAGTTCTACAGTGGCATGTTCAGGAACCCTCATTAAATCGAGAAATGGGAGTTCCAAGTGAGCTCCTACCCTTTACCACCACCAGCATTCCAACTCATTATGCCCTAATGGAAGTCAGAACCTGGGCCTCCCCTGCTGGAGCATGGGCAGTAAGGGCCTCCTGAGGGATAAGCAAGCAGGAGCCCAGGTATGGGAGCCAGCAGAGCCCTTCAAGAACAAGAGAAATGTTATGCTGACTGGAAGGCTGGGGGAGGGTATTTATAAGTTAAGTTAAATTAGCAGAATACTTTTATTTAAATCTTAAAAAACACCAAGAGGTCTGTTGATAGGAGAAAAACACAAAGAATCAAAATTATTCTAGTAACACTTGGGACAACTTTTAGCATCCCAAACAAAGGTTAAATAAACTAATCAGGCTTAAAGTGCCCAGATATTTTTAACTATACAGACCAGTTAAATCTATAAAAGAAACTGGAAGAATTCTCATCACGTACCACTGTTTAAAAACTTCACAACTAAAGACAATCAGTAATCATCATTACATTAAATGTGAATAGTTTTTCCCAGGATACATTACTGATTTCATTGTAAACCAGAAACAATCTCTTTAGTTTGTCTTGTTTTAACATTGTTTCAAAGACATTATTTATCGATAATTCTGAGAAGGGGTTTTTACTATTGGGTAATATTTGGCAAGCTGTTACATACTCTTTTATCAGAAAGAATAAAATAAGAATTCATCCCTCAGGAGCTATCCTGATAAAGTAATTATTGTGATACTCTAAAAAATTCGAAGAATAAAGAAGACTTGGCATGACCTTCATGGCCCACAATCAGAATGCCAAAGACCTTTTCCACTGGAAACTCTTCTAATGCCAAAGGTGCCGCGAGGAGATTATCTGCACATACTGGAAGAGAAACAAAAACTGAAGCTAAACAAATTCCTCCTTCATAGGCTGTTTCTAGTGGCCAACATACAGCCAAACATGGAGAAAAAAGAAGTTGCTGAATACTACGATCAAGCATTTCAGTCAATTCTGAAACATCACCCGGAAGAAGCCGTGACGGGGTTACTGCTCATCTACCCCACTTCCATGCTACACATCATCGAGTCCTCCGATGGCACTCTGCAGCAAGTTCTTTCAGATTATCTTGGCCATGAAAGGAAGGAGCCAGAATTTTGGATTCAAAAAATGAAAATTATAGTCATCTCTCACAACATCCCAACAAGACTCTTCATGCAGTGGCACGTTTCGGTAGTCAGAGTGCCAACTGTTTACCTGGAGGACATGACACAGTCACAGTCCCTGCAGGAGGTCATCACAGGTTTTCTAACCTGGATGCATAAATTGGCACTGCACCTTAAGACTCTTAAAGTGGGTGCAAAAGGACTAGATGATAACTTGCACCTCGCTGCACCTCACCTGCTCCCCGCAGAACAAATCTTAAAGTATTTAGGTAATGCTGAAGAACTCATGGACCCAGCAACTTTCCTAAGCACATATAATAAACCCATAGATATAGTCTTGGATTCTGAGGTGGTGTGGCCTGCTCCGTCCAGGTTCTACGATGGAAAGAAATACTGACGTCAGATCGCTTAAGGGATCTGTGAAACCTAAAGAAAGAAAACTATTTCTAACATTAGTCTTCTTTTTCTCTCTTTTAATAAAAGGACACTACAATTTATCAAAAGGTAATATGTTCATCTTTATAGAATATCTTTTTAGTCTGATATTGAGCTCAATGCATTATATCAGGTTAGATGAGTCTAATAAAATTATAATAAGTTTTATCATCTTTCACAGAGCAACTTTTTTTTTTTTTTTTTTTTTTTCCAAGGGTTC